AGACATTTCTTTAATCTTCAATTGTCCAGTTTTATTGCTCCAAATACCAATTTAAATGGCCAACTATATTTTGCACTAATATTTTTGGAAGCCTTAACTGTGTTCTGCTTTTTTTAATTTGCTCCACCGCTGATAAGCAGAGTTGTCAAAAACTGTAGAGAAATGGAAAGTGTGACTGTTTTAGAGTTGCCTTTTTGTTCACCGGATCTTAATAAAATTGAGAATTTAAGGGGTAAGGTTAAAACAAAGATTATAGCCCGTTAAAACAACCCGGAATCGCAGAGCAACTAGTAGAAGTAGTTTTAAAGGGGTGGGAAAAAGTTCAACAAAAAGAAATAAATAACTTAATAAAAAACTACTCTTGATAATTTGGTCTAATGTTGTAGCTTGGCCCAAAAATTAAAAAATTAAATAAATATAAATATAATGGACAAAGTTTGATAGAACATCCTTTGTTCTAAATACCTTTGACCTTAACTTCCTTGTAATTTATATAAATTTAGGAACTAAAACCTTTATTCATATAAGTATATTATATCTTAAGATTTATCAGTGTCATTTGAATGATTACTTTGCTAGAGCAAACATTTTAGGTCTTTAATCTCACAAAGCGTAATATTTTAGATATTGTTTGTGGAGGGTCGATCTGGAACAAAGAAAAGTAAATTTAGCAATCACTAAAGTAAACACCTTGACCCAGCGGTCTATTATTCTCCACTCTCATATCGCATTGTTTGCCTTCATTTCGAAAAATCATTTTGTCTTATTGACCCGAAAATCAAATTAAAAATAAATCTCCAAATGTTTGCTTGTAGTCAAAACATATTTTCTACAGGGTGTATCTAAACTGGCGAAAAAGATCTCCAGTAAGTTTAAGAGGTCTCGGAAATATAGTAAAAAAATCCAGTGGCGTCAGGTCCGGAGATTTTGGCGGCCAAGGAACAGGTCCAGTAATTCGGGAATTGCTCATCCAGATATCTTCTGACAGTAAATTCTGACCATTTAATCTATCGGAATGAATAATTGGACCCATCAAATGGTTCTTAATAGTCCCAGCCTACAGATTTTCCAAAGCATATTGATGATTGTTATGTAAATTAAAGTATCCCTTTCTACTGAAGTTGGCTTCGTCATTTTAAAGTATGACTTCTTAAGCTTTTTTGATCAACCAATTGTAAATATTGAACATAAATCGATATCATTTGGTTCAAGAGTCTAAACTTTTGTATATTATAATAAATGATAGCCTTCTTCCACAAGACATTTTTTCACACTACTTGACGCATCAAGCCATTCAGTTACCAGTCGTCCTAATGGGGTAGTTAAATTTTTTCTGACCTATACTTTATTCAAAGCGTTTTATAATTTTAAAAATTTCTGTGAAATCGGAATTGTAATTGAGTTTACCGTTTTCGAGATATTTACAAAAAAAAATCTCCTAATTACGTCACTAGGCTATTGACAACGTTGCCAGCTTTTTCTATGGTTGCCAGTGTGTTTAGTTTAAGATTCTTACGATAGATGGCGCCACGTTATAATATTTTAGTTTTAAAACCACTTGATCTATAATTTTAGTTGAGAAGAAGAAGAAGAATTGATTTGTTGACGTTTCTTTTTTTCGGGTTATGTTTTTTTTAAATTTATATTATTGAAAATCAATGTTATTGTTATGTTATTTGTAATTGATATTAGATAGATGATTTATTAATAACGGACTCCAAAGCAGAGGAATCTTGTGGAATGGTTGGTTACATTGAACATTGGAGCTGTTAAACAAATAAAGTAAGTACCTATTATAATAATTATAATCATATTTTGTCGTAAATGCATTTCATTAGTATAATGCCTAGTTCTTTATATTCTTTTAGATATATCTTGGACTCTAAAATATCAAACAGTAATATGATACCTCGTAATAAGGAAGATAGGTACTTAATGAATTTGGTGACCATCTTTCACTCAACTGACAGTGACAGTATTTGTACATAACCTCTTCGGGCATTTTCTGACATAACCGAATGAAATCATTATCAAGACAACTTGACAACAGGGTAATTTTCAACCAATAGAAATCTTAGAATGTTGGTCACATGGCGAGGTTTGTGACGTCATAAAAATTTATATCATTTGTAAATATCTCGAAAACGGTAAACTCAATTGAAATTCTGATTTCACAGAAATGTTTAATATTACAAAACGCCTTGAATAAAACCATAAAAAGTATAGGTCAGAAAAAATTTAACTACCCCATTCTTTCCTACAATCTTTTGAAGACATTTCCACTGGAAGATTGTCTCAAAAAATTCGGAAAAGGTCGAAATAAATTACGGCCAAAACGACATAGTAAGAAACTAAAGATAAGTAGACAAACAAAAATTAAAGCCATGGATAATAAGGCAAAAAACATTAACAGTAATAAAAATCCAAGAAAAAAAACCACAAATAAATAAAGAAATATTTACTGACGATTAATTGCCAGAGATGATTTTTTTGTTTTTAATTGTAGGTATTATTGTTAAAATAGTTGTAGAAAATGTCTTGTCTTTGAACTCAATACTAGTGTTGAAAAATCACTAAAAACTAATTGGCAAATAGCAATATTCAACAAGTATACAAAGTTCTCTTCCAAACTTTGATGTATCCGGTAAAAACGGTTCAAATATAAATAAGCTCCATTAAGAAAAATTGCTCTTTGATGTTAACATGCTTGTAATATATGAGAATATAAACATCCCAATCACTTCGCTTTTGAAAATAACGGGTTTATGAAAATATTTATGCTTTTAGCTAGGTAGACGATACCAAAGTTTGAATCATCTAATAACAAGTTTTTCCTGTGTACAGAGGATTTGTATTTTAGACATTATTTTGATTGCCTAAAGAAGACCCTTATTTTATTTAAAAAGTATTTTTATTTTTTTTATTTGAAAAAAAAACATGCTTTTTAATTCAACCTATTTTTTGTTTTACTTGGATAAACTTTAATTATAAAGACATACGATGATTTAAAATAGGAATCTTTTTGACAAAAAAAGTAACACGTGATTCTTGGCTTTTACCTAAATATTATATCAAAGCTTTGTCACACTCTTTGAAAAGATGTTTGGGTTTATCGGAGTTATAACAAAGGTTAATTGTTCTTAATACCAATAGGTAGTTAGAACTTGGTTTATAATCGTTTACTGTTTTTAAATTAACAACAAAAGTTATCGCTCCTAAATATATTGATATTTATATTGATATTTATTTTCATTTTATGTTAGAATGTTATTGCATTAAATACTAATTTGATTTATTTAATAACGTTACTATAGTATGTATACATTTAACGCAATAAATTCTTTGACATTTAGGCAAAATGTTTCCCCATTTTGCTTTAATAGTAAATAATTGAGCAAATAACAATTTTAATGCATTCAATGACAGCAGTGTTCTTGGTACTATGTTAGATTTTTTATGTGTATTTACTTAAGAGAGCATTAAGGCCTATTTAGCTTTATAGCAGTATATTGGTTTTAAGGGGTTCTTAAAAAGTATATTTTATGAAAGCAGTTAAAACCAAATTTTTGGAGATAACTGTCCTAAGACTATTTGCTTGTGCTGTAAGTACTTTTTACAGCTAATACTTTAATCTGCTTTATTATACTCATGTGCTTCTCAATTTATTTCACTCCTATCTTGTTAATCGTCAATTATTTGTGACCTACAATGGTTTTGGTTTCGATAGTTTTAGTCCAGGCTCTGGAGTACCTCAGGGTTCTATCCTGGGTCCACTATTATTTGTTCTTTTCATCAATAATATTTCCAATTTTGTAAAGTGTCAACATTTGATTTTTGCTGATGACTTAAAATTGTTCGTTGCATCAGACTGTGTATACCTACAAAATCAGCTAAACTTAATAAATGAATGGTGTATCCTCAATAGACTTTTTTTGAATATAGGTAAATGTAAGGTGTTACTCTAAAAAAATATCCCACTATTTTTGAGTACACAATTAATGACGATTCCATATCAAGGTGTAGATGTACCAGAGACATGGGAGTATATTTTGATACCAAATTATCATTTTCAGACCACATCACTAGTATTGTAAAATCTGCTCTTAAAATTGTTGGTTTTATAAATAGAAATACTCAATCAATGAATTGTGAGGGTGCATTGAAAGTTTTGTATTATTCATTGGTTCGTACCAAGAGTACTGCTCTCTTGTTTGGTATCCATGTTATAATGCCTATACTGATCAATTAGAAAGAGTACAAAGGCGATTTTTAAAAATTTTAGCTTTTAGGCTTGACAATATTTATCCTGCTAGAGGTACTGAACACATTTTATTGTTGAATAGATTTAATGTTAGGTCCTTGCAATGTAGAAGATTTTTATTAAGTATTAAATTTCTGTACAGGCTGTTCAGTAATGAAATAGACAGTACCTTTTTGATATCACTCTTTAACATTTACGTACCACGAATTAATGCTAGATCTATTTTAACTTTCTATAATACATTTGCCAGAACCAATGTTCTTTTAAAATCTTCAGTATTTGTCATGAGTGGTAACTTCAATAAAATATGCAATGAATTTGATATTGCAGTAACTGTTGCCACTATTGAAAATATTACAACGTTGGCCATAAATTATTTTAAAGTTAGCTAAACTTATTTTGAATTTATATTTACTTTAGTATTTGTTTATATATTCTGTATTATTATAATTGTCCTCACTTAACTACCATTTGGCTTTATAGAGGTGTCAGAGGAGGATTTATTAAAGCTGTGACAACCTCATTAAAGCAATAATAATAAAGCCTTTATGTTACTTGGGTGTTTTTATTAAAAAACTACACCAAAGCAATTTCTTTCAATTTTGCTAATGCTTTTTTGTAATTTGGTCAAAAAATAAACATATAGGTAATAAAAACTTAATGTGTGGAAATTTGGAACCAATAATTCTTGTTATGCAATATTAATGGTAGTGCATAGTTGGGGATGAAACAGGCTTACCGATGACAGTGAAGTTGACACGGCTGTTCCGGGTGGGAGAGTCTTTGAAATCGACGCGGCACCTGTATATGCCCTCGTCGGATAACCGGATATTGTCTATCACTAATGTGGCGGGCGTGGTGGTGGCTCGAAAAAACGCCCTCGAGTCGAACACGCTGGGCGACGACCACAGCTTTGCCTGATTGAACTGTCGTCCTCGCACGTCAAAGCTGGAAAGAGAAGAGGTCAACGTTAAAAAATTGTCAGTCGGATGCGTTCTTATCTGAAGGACGACACCTTCTTTAATTTATTCGGTTGCTAGGATAATGGAGGGAATCTTCTTTGAACTAAGGGGTTATAGTTTGGCGCCCGACTAGCACTGACGCCGCACAGTGTTGGAAATATATACAGTGTCTTTTAAAACAAATAGATACACTTAAATAAAACAAGTACCAAACCCCGCCCACTGTGGTAGGGATTGAAAAAAGTTTTTTCGTTATTTTAGAATTATTTTTGTTTGTTTTGTTTTAATGCATTTCTGCAAATAAAAACTAAGTATTGTTTAAAATCCATTAAATTCCAGTTAATGGCGAAAATGACAGCGTCGGAGCTACTAAACACAGTAGATCAAACTGCATGCCCTTGTATCTGGCTGCAAGCCGCGCTATTATTGTTTCCTAAAAGGGTTGTTTTTCTTATTTTTTTAATATTAAAAGTAAGAAAATTAACTAAATCAAATTATTTTTGACATATTATTAATTTTTTTGTTATTTTTAAAGTTTCAAACAAATAAAATTGAACTATTTATTAAATAATTATAATCGTTCTCTTCTGATTTAAAACAACCTGGCAACTATGGCTCGTAATTACGAATGGCTTGGTTTAAACCACGCCCAATTAAAGTTTGTTTCTTTTTCTCTGATCAGAATATAATTTGTCATCCTTGTCTCCAGCCTTACTTACTTGATTCTATACAGTCTGTATATGGAAAAATGAAGAAATGAAAATGTAAAAAAAATTAAATTTATTAAATCCTATAGATGCCATTTTGTCAATTTTTATTTTATATTTCATTGCAATTTTAAAACAAGTAGATATACAGGGTGTTTCACATTCGTGGTCCAATGGAAGTTTCCAAGGGACCAAAAAAAAAATATCGATTTGAAATTTTAAAAGCGCTTATAATACATCTGGCATTATTCAAAATTTAATGGCGTCAAATTTGAAGGTTGTTATAAACAATTTGTTGACTAATTATGTGTTTTGTGGACAATATTACTGATACTTCTAGATTAGACGTTGCTCTTCACGACTAAAATATTTTTGGTTTATTAAATTGTTACAGTTACGCATTCTTTTTGTCATTAAAATATTTAAATTTTATTTATCTAAGGGATCATGGTGAATTATTGTGTTTTTAATTGAAAATAAAATTCAAAAACTCAATCATGGCATTTTCAGGTGTTGCCAAAGGATCCAATTCGGTAAGTACATTTGTTGGTGCAGAATTAACTTTACCTAATATAATTTATATTTAAGTTTTGCACAAACATAACCTTAAAATCCACCATTTTTATATTTGAGTTCTCTAAAAAACGCCGACAACTGCATTTTAAACAACAAAATATACCTACTAATTCATGGAAACATAATATTATATATAAGACTTTCTTAATCAACGCTTTTAATAATGCTAAATGCTGTTTAAATTTAGACGACTTTGTTTGACGATTTGTATTGAATTGAAATATTTACACTTTTCACGTTAATCACTACTAAAATGTGTATTTATTGTATCTAATAGGTACAATTTACATATACAGAGAGTGTATGCAATTTATTTCTTTAATCAGATTAACACTGTTTATTGGAAAACCGGTAAAAACTCAACCCAGGATTTCCTGTCGAAATACACCCAACAAAACAACAAATCGAGCCACGGTTTTTTATCGATATTTTTTAACATTTTCGGTCTTTATTCTCAAAATACTAGTTTGTAACAAAAGCGTTTGACAGCTGATTATTAAAAGTTATACTTTTGTTACGATGATAACAGCCGAGTGGTGGCGCTACTAGCGATAATTCTTTAGCGTATAGGCTATTTTTGATTAACGCGCATTTCACAAATTTTAACGAAAAAGATTAACAACTCGAAAACTATTTACTTTAGGTATAGGACATGGAATGTAAATTTTACCCAGAATTTTATGTAGAATTTAAAAATTAAAAAATATTTGGGGTGTTCCATTTAAAATAACAAAGTTGATGTTACGTCCGGTTAAACCGGAAGTGGCAATTTGTTCAAAATATTTTTGAAAAATAGGCTTAAGTGGATTAGAAACAACCTGAAATACCCTGTATAAAGCTGTATATAGTTAAGGCGGTAAAATTAATTAAAATTGGACAAACATTTCAGCACTTTTTTTCACAAATAAATGTTATTTTCTTAGTAACATGCTGTTTAATTTCTTTATAAACATTTCCTTTACAACAAAATAAAAAATACAATTTAAAGAATATTAAAAAAAATCGTTCAGGCACCAAATTGATGTAAAATATTAAGTCATGTGAATGTTCTCATATTAAGCCAATTTCGTATAAATTGCTTTTTTGGAATTGTGTGTTGAAAACAAAATGGTACAAAGAAAGCGGAATTATTATCCCGATTTTCACGCACGACAGAGTTATAAAACAAAACAATTGGGATTTAGTTTTCCCCCTTGTCAAAATACTCCATGGTGCACCCTGGCGGTTAACCATACAGTTATCCGTAGCTGTAGCTGTGTATACATACTACTACAGGTGGATGTTCCCACGTATCTTAAACTTTTCGAGCGGTAAAAATTAACTTCAAGTGGCAACATTGGCAATAAACTAAAAGTAAATTTTAGAAGGAATTTCTTTACACTACCACCGAGAGGTTTTATAAGTAGTTTAAACGGTCACGGCGCTTGATTTTTTTTGGGCGCCATAATGACTACACATTTTTTTTTGTTTAGTTCTAGGACTGATTAAGGCATTATTAAAATATATCATTCGTTTAAAATATCACCTACTATTTTCTTAAGAGATATTGTACACTGTTAAAAATTTCTAAATTGTAATTTTACTCAACATGTTAAGTTTAGACGTTTTTACGCACCATAACATAGTAATAGTAAAACTCAGTTTTGTAAATTCACTACACGATTCAATACAACTCAATTTGAAAAAATTACAAAACGTTTGTTGAAATTCACTAAGCATTTATTAAAAATTTGTTTAGTAACATTACTATACAGGTATTGTAATTTTGATAAAAAAAATACTAAAAATGTTTAGTAATTTTAACATGGTGTATTGTAATTATACCATGTAATTCATTTTAAATCAGTTTAAGAAAATTACAAAATATATTTTACAATTTTACCATAGGTACTAAAGAAAATTCGTTTCGCAATATTAGAATACAAATATACAAAATATATTTTACAATTTTACTATACCTACTAAAGAAAATTCGTTTCGCAATATTACAATACAAATATTGTTATTTTGTACAACAAATTACACTATTGTATGTATTGTAATTATACTACGAAAAAAACCCTGCAATTTTCTTAGTTTCCTCAAGAGTGTATAGAAAAGTTTATAAACGAGGTGCATACAATACTTTTTCTACGACAAATACCTAATATTATCTTAAAATTCTTTAAATCAAAAATTTGTATAGAGCACCATCTATGAAACAATAGGGGAATCTGTGTGTCACCGTCAAATGTCACATTTTTATTATTTATAAACACAGATTATAAGGGTTATAAATCTAAATGTATTTTTTGAAAATTGACAGTTTTTCAAAGTGAAAGTAAAGAAAATGTTTTATGAGGACTTTACAGTGGAGTCCGTGCCCGAATTTAAGTTATAGTTTACTGCCGGCGAAATTAAAAGGTCAGTGCAATGTTTATATAAACTTTTCAAATATTGGCGTTGAGAAACTATTTAATACTTATGTATTTTTGTATTGAGATAATAAAACAATTTTCACATTTAGTATTATTTTACAAGAAAGGCACTTTATTTTAACGATTGTATGAAATTTGACAACTGTCAACTAACTTAAAACCAACTTCAGCCCGTGACTAAAAACCTGTTGCTAACTTCAGCCCGTGACTAAAGCGCCGTAAAGCCACAACTTGTCAATGTGTATTTAAAAGGTCACTTAGTGTCATGGAAACATGTACGGTAAAGGGCGTTTTAAAGGTGGGAGTGGAAAAAATAAATAATGATTTGTATGTTTCCAAATACTTATTATAATTCAAATAGCAAATTTTGGTTACTAATTTTATTGATTATATTAGTAAAATTAAATTTCGAATATGTATAGAAATTTTACAAACATTTTTAACAGTGTACAGATCAGGAAGAGTTAAAAAAATTAAAATCCTTAAATAAAAGAAATAAAATAAAAAGTAACAAATATAAACAAAGCAAAAATGACAATGGAAACCTTATGATGGGCAATATTAAGTGGTTTTTATATCAAGCAATTATCGAAAAATCCATTAGGCTGAACAAATATTCCTCATAATTTTTTCTTTCATATACACACAATAACGTTTACTATTTTGATGCGTTTCTTTTATAAAATTAAGCCTTTCCATTAACGGGTTAAATCAAATATTTGGACAAAATTAATGAGTGGGAAATCCGATAACCTTCTAGAATGATATAGAACGAAAATAAAATCAACACTAAATGGCATCAAACGAGGAAATTGATACGTTTAGTGCATTAGCTCTTATTGGATAACCCTTTAAAACAAATAAATGTTATTTCTGATCTTATGGGAAGTTTTTTTATCATGCACGGAAAAAAGCTATTTTAAATTAAAGATTATTCATCTCAGTCCAAGTATATGTTCATCTCACCATTCCGCAAGTATAGCTACATTTTATTTAAGGATTTATTTATTCTTATTTGTAATTTAAATTAATACTTATTTGAAGGATATAGGGAGTTGAATGCAAGAACTAACCTATACTTATTTGTATATAATTTCAAGTATTTTTTTATACAAATGTTATAATTCTTGGCGATACCATATTTACTTTTGGATTAAATATAAGGTATCTTTATGTAAGTTAAGCAATAATTGTTTTAAATATTGTTTATTCTTTTTTTAATAGGATAATCCACTCTTTACCTTTTAAAATAAACATGGTCAAAAAAGAATAGACAATATTTGAAA